TTGTGTTGAGCAAAAATTAGAAACAATCCAAATGTCTGTCAACAGGTGAACTGATAATGGTTTGGCCATACAGTGAAACATGTCTTAGTAACAAAGATCTAAGTAACAAAAAGGTATGACCTATTGCTATATATAAAGTACATACTATAGATTTTATTAATATAAAACTGTAGAAAATACAAACTAATCTATAATGACAGAAGGAAGATTAGTGTTTGTCCAGGGTAGGGTAGCAGAAGCAAGGAGGGGAGAAAAGATAGAATTTCATAGGGGTATGAGGAAACTTTTGGGGGTGATAAATATGGGGGTGATAAATATATTTGTTATCTTGATTGTGTTGGTTTCATTGGTGTATACATATGTCAAACTCATCAAATTGTACAGTTTAAGTAGGTATAGTTCACTGCATGTCAATTATACCTCAATTTTAAAATGAAATTAAAAAATACAATGAGTTACCACAATACACCCACTAAAATGGCTAAAGTTAAAAGACTTTGCCCAGTGCTGGTGAAGCTGAAACTCTCATACACTGCTGATGAGAATGCAAAAGGGTACAATGACTTTGGAAAAGAGACTGATACTTTCTTGAAAATTTAAAATACATTTTCCAAATATCTCAGCCATTCCATTCCTACATAATTAAGAAATGGGGAATATGTCTACACAAATACTTGTAAATGAATATTCATAGCAGCTTTATTCATTATAGCCCAAACCTGGAAATAGTCCAAACGTCCATCAATAGGTGAACGGATAAACACATTTGGTAGATCTATTAAATGCAATATATTATTCAACAATAAAAAGACTGATACACTAACAACGTATATAAATCTCAAAATCATCACAGTTACTGAAAGTAGCCAGACATCCCCCCAAAAAAAGAATACATGATGTATGATTCCATTTATATAAAATTCCAGAAAATGCAAACTAACTTATCAGAAAGCAAATCAGAAGCTACCTGGGGCTGGGGGTAGAAGGAAGGATCGATTTAAAAGGGGCAGGAGGAAGACTTTGGGGTTGATGAAATGTTTGTTGGCTTGATTTTGATAATGGTTTCATAGATGTATGTCAAAACTTACCAAATGTGGAAGGTTAAGGTTGCATTGAACTATGATTGTGCCACTGCAGTCCAACCTGGGTGGCAGAGCAAGACCCTCCCTGTCTCAAAAACAAACAAAAACTTAGCAAATTGTGCACTACACACACACACACACACACACACACACACACACACACACAAACTTATATGTAGTTTGTCATCAATTAAACTTCAATAAATCTGCAAACAAACAAAAAAAGTACTGGAATATGATAGTTACTAAATGCTATCAATTAATACTTTGGTGGGGGTGGGGAGGCTATGGGTAGTAACCATCAATTGAAAGCAAATATGAAAGCTAGAAGGCCTCTGGCAGCAGACGCTCACCTCTCGTAGCCTGAAGGCAGAAAATGCTGAGGATCAGATTCACCTTTAATTTCAAGAGTGGTGAACAAGCTCTAGAAATATATGATTCTCAACTCAGGCAAGTTGGCTTCATCAAGGCCAGGGAGCGCATTGATGGGAAGGACTGTGACCCTAAGACTTGGAATGGGTCCTCTTGGTTAACACACTGTAAATCTTGAATCACAATGCCAGTGATTCCTCTGGGCTGGCACAAGCAGCCTTCTCCTCTTCCTCCCTTAAAGGTTAGCTCTACCCATTTCCTGGAAGATGATGCCAAGTCCCCTGCTTTGCAAGATAAATACCACCGCCCCACCCACTCACCTCGGCCCAGGATACACACCTGAAATACTTTGGATGTCTGTCCCCACCCAAATCTCATATAAAAAAATCCCCAATGTTGGAGGTAGGCCATGGTCAGAGGTGATTGGATCATGGGGGCAGATTTCTCATGAATGGCTTAGCATCATCTCTTGGTACTGTCATCACAATGGTGAGTGAGTTCTTGTGAGATCTGGTGGTTTAAAAGCACCTCCCATTCATTCTCTTGCTCCTGCTCTGGCCATGTGACATGCCTGCTCCCCCTTCACATTCCGACATGATTGTAAGTTTCCTGAGGCCTCCCCAGAAGCCAAGCACATATTAGCACTGTGCTTCCTGTACAGCCTGCTATTGTGAACAGTGCTGCAATAAACATATGTGTGCCTGTGTCTTTATAACAGAATGATTTATAATCCTTTGGGTATATATCTAGTAATGGTGCTGGGCCAAATGTTATTTCTATTTCTATATCCTTGAGGAATCACAACACTGTCTTCCACAATGGTGGAACTAATTTACACTTCCACCAACAGTGTAAAAGCATTCCTATTTCTTCACATCCTCTACAGTATCTGTTGTCTCCTGATTTTTTAATGATCGCCATTCTAACTGGTGTGAAATGGTATTTCAATGTGGCTTTGATTTGCATTTCTCTAATGATCAGTGATGATGAGCTTTTCTTCATGTTTGTTATCTGCATAAATGTCTTCTTTTGAAAAGTATCTGCTCACATCTTGCCCACTTTTTGATGGGGTTTTTTCTTGTAAATTTGTTTCAGGTCTTTGTAGATTCTGAATATTAGCCCTTTGTCAGATGCGTAGATTGCAAAAATTTTTTCCCATTCTATTGGCTGCCTGTTCACTCTGATCATAATCTCTTTGGCTGTGCTGAAGCTCTTTAGTTTAATTAGATCTCATTTGTCTATTTTGGTTTTGTTGCCATTGCTTTCTTATTTCATTGAGTTGATCTTCAATCTTTTATTTCCTTTCTTCTGCTTGATTCATTCAGCTATTGATACTTGTACATGCTTCATGAAGTGTTGTGCTGTGTTTTCCAGCTCCATCAAGTTGTTTATGTTGTTCTCTATACTGGTTATTCTAGTTAGCATTTCATCTAACCTTTTTTCAAGGTTTCCTTGCATTGGGTTAGAACATGCTCCTTTAGCTCAGAGAAGTTTGTTATTACCCACCCTCTGAAACCTGCTTCCGTCAAATCACCAAACTCATTCTCCAACCAGTTTTGTTCTCTTGCTGGTGAGGAGTTGTGATCCGTTGGAGAAGAAGAGTTCTGGTTTTTGGAGTTTTCAGCGTTTTCACACTGATTTCTTCCCATTTACGTGGATTTATCTACCTTTGGTCTTTCAAGTTGGTGACCTTCGGATGGGGCCTCTCAGTGGATGTCCTTTCTGTTGATGTTGAAACTATTTGTTTGTTAGTTTTCCTTCTGACAGGCCGCTATGCTGCAAGTCCACTGGAGGTTTGCTCTAGACCCTGCTTGCCTAGGAATCACTTCCAGGGGCTGCAGAACAGCAAATATTGCTGCCTGTTCTTTCCTCTGGTAGCTTCATCCCTGAAGGGTACCCACTAGATTCCAGCCAGAGCTCTCCTGTATGAGGTGTCTGTCAGCCCCTGCTGGGAGGTGTCTCCCAATCAGGATACACAGGGGTCAGGGAGCCACTTGTGGAGGCAGTCCGTTCCTTATTGGAGCTCAAACACTGTGCTGGGAAATCCATTGCTCCCTTCAGAGCTGATGGGCAGGGATGTTTAAGTCTGCTAAAGCTGTACCTAAAACTGCCCCTTTTCCCAGATGCTCTGTCCCAGGAAGGTGGAGGCTTTATTTATAAGTCCCTGACAGGCTGCTGCTTTCTTTCAGAGATGCTCTGCCCAGCAAAGAGGGAGTCTAGTGACACAGTCTGCCTGAAGTGTCCTTGCTGAGCCGCCATGCCCTCCACCCAGTCACTGTGTAAACTTCCTGGAGACTTTGTTTACACAGGTGAGGTTAAAACTGCCTATCCTAGCCTCAGCAATGGTGGATGCCCCTCCCCCCACCAAGCTTGAGTATCTCAGGCCGAACTCAGATGCTGTGCTGGCTGCGAGAATTTCAAGCCAGTGGACCTTAGCTTGCTAGTCTTCTTGAAGGTGGGACCCACCGAGCCAGATCACTTGGTTCCCTGACTTCAGCCCCCTTTTTCAGGGGAATGAGTGGCTCTGTGACTCTGGCATTCCAGGCACCACTGGATTATGAAAAACAAAACAAAACAAACCAAAACTGCTGCAGCTAGCTCAGTGTCTTCCCAAACGACCACCCAGTTTTGTGCTGGAAACCCAGGGCATTGGTGGTGTGAGCACCGGAGGGAATCTCCTGGTCTGCGGGCTGTGAAGATGGTGAAAAAAGCGCAGTATCTGAGCCAGAGTGCCGGGAAAAGTCCCTAATGGCTTCCCTTGGCTAGAAGAGGGGGTCCTCCAGCCCCTTGTGCTTCCTGGGTGAGGCAACACCCCATCCTGCTTTAATTTGCCCTCCTTGGGCTGCACCCACTGTCTAACCAGTCTCAGTGAGATGAACCAAGAACCTCAGTTGGAAATGCAGAGATCACCCATCTTCTGCATCGCTCTAGCTGGAAGCTGTTCCTATTTGGGCATCTTGCTGAAAAATCCCCAGATTTCTTACCTCACAGTAAATGAATGTCTCTGCTCTCTTTGCCCCAGCCTTACCCTTGGGGCTATCAATGAGAATCCATGAGATTTTTTTCCTACCCAAGTGAATGGGGTCAAGTAAAACAAACAAAAATCAAGGCTAGGTACAGAGTGACTCTATTTGAAATTATTAAAGTAGCGCTACAGTCTGAATTGTTGTGTCCCTCCATCCCCTGCAAATTTGTATGTTGAAATACTAACATAGGAATGATGATGGTATTAGGGAGTTGAGTCTTTGAAAGGTGACTAGGTCAAGAAGGCAAAGGCCTCATGAGTGGGATTAGTACCTCTAAAGAGCCCCAACAGTTTCCCTTGCTTTTTCTACCATGCGAGGACAGTGAGAAGGTGCCATCTACAAACTAGAAGTGGGTCCTCACCTCACCAGACACCAGGTCTGCCAGCACTTTGACCTTTGACTTCCCAGGCTTCGGAACTGCGGGAAATAAATTTCTGCTGTCTATAAGCTATTGGCTTATGGTATTTTGGTATCTATAGCAGCCCGAATGGATGAATACAAACAGGGAGAGAGGAACTATTTTAATAGGGTCAGGGAAACTATTGTAACAAGAATGCCTCAAAGGTAAGATCTGCAATCATCTCAAAGATCAGATAGCAATGGGCTTTTTTCTCTTTTTCTCCTACAGGAAGGAATAAACAGGCCTAGAAAAAAACTATTGTGGAGGGGAGGAGCAGGTGACATTAATGGGACAGTTGAGCATGGAATGTCCTTCTTGGTGGCTTACCAATTTTCAGGAGGGGTGGTTAGGGAGGGACTATTCCACAGTCCAGTGCTGGCCTAGGCTGAGGGTGGATCAAAGTCCAGTGGCCTATGGGGAAGGGAGAAGCATAAAATTGGGTCAAGTTAAAAGGCATTTTGTCCAGATTAGTCTATAGGGACAAAAAGCTCAACTAAGTACTTTGAGGCAAACAATGGAATTTAGAGGGTCAGTCTGGCTTTATCATAGGTAAAGGAAGGGATTATTCACAGTTCTGGTGGTTCTTTGCAGTAAGCCGTTTCTGGAAATGCAACAAGAGGGAGGGATTTCTTTTTTCTTTTTCTTTTTTTTTTTTTGAGATGGAGTCTCGCTGTAGCATCAGGCTAGAGTGCAGTGGCATGATCTTGGCTCACTGCTACCTCTGCCTCCTGGGTTTTTAAGCAATTCTCCTGCCTCAAAGCAGCTGGGACTACAGGTACGTGCCACTATGCCCAGCTAATTTTTTAATTTTTTAGTAGAGATGGAGTTTCACTATGTTGGCCAGGATGGTCTTGATCTTTTGACCTGGTGATCCACCCACCTCGGCCTCCCAAAGTGCCGGGATTACAGGCATGAGCCACCTTGCCCAGCCAAGACAGGGATTTCTTAACTGTCACTGTTTTCCAGGAGCACAGGGCTCAATTAAATGTTAATACTGTGGTCAGTGGCCAGGTACCCTATAAGTAGGAGACAGGGAAACAGGTTGGGGAGTGTTTTACATGTCATACTAACCTCTCAACATTTAGCATGTCCTCAACGGGACTATCCTCGCTGGCATTTGTTTGTAGAATCAGAAGTATATCTATTCCAGCAACATATCTGAAGTAGAAGCCATGATCACAGTGCATCAAGTCAACCTGAAGGGTCTTAGCTACCAAGTTATATTTATCTCCCCACCTCACTGGTTACCTTGCCCAGACCCCAAGTTGAATTCAGGTGCCTCTTCTCCTTACTGGACCAGTTATAATAGTAACTTAGGCACCTATATTCAATGAAACCATGAAGCTTTTCCCGTAGGCTTTCCCGTAGGCTTCCAGAAATTTCAACAGGGGTGTAGGGTGTGTGGTCCTTCAGTAATAGAGAGAATATGGCTTTATCCTAAGGGCTTTTCTCCTTTAAACAACTTAGTATGTGTAAAAGAAGAAAGAGGCAGGAGATGCAAGACACATCCATCCATTGTTTTTGGTCCTCTCAAAGGTGGGTACCAGGCAGGAAGGTCATTGCTGATAAATCTATTTTGGCTTTGAAAACCCCCTAATCCAACAGTCATAGCCACACAGCTTTCCAAGTGGGGCCAGGGGGTGTGCACCCCTTGGCTGACCTGGACTTAACTGGCACTACAACCTTGTTTAGCAATAAGGGCTTTAGGGTGATGCAGTTAGCGAAGTTTTTTTGATCCTCTTTCTCCTTTTATTCTTTCACTTCCCTAACTCCTCCCATATTTTCTGTAAATGCTAACTCCTTGATCAAATCCCTTATTCCTGTAATGTTTGTAGTAGCATTTTTTTTCACGGCTACACTCCATTGAGTCTATCTCATATTGACACCTTTTGCTACCAGAAGAGGCAGCAGAGACAGAATCTTCTGGAATTTCTTCTCTGGATTAAAAGGCATAATGTTCCCATTGCCAAGGTAATCGACTGTCTATGTTAAAAGTTACTTATCACTTGTAGTCATTTGTTTGTTAACTAATGCCTAGACACAAGGTTTACTTACATTAAATCAAAGTGAAATGCCAGAGTATCCTTCCTTGGTTTACAGAGAACATTATCAAAGACACAAATTCTGGGGTAAAATTATTATACATAACTTACTCACATCCTATCTTCTCTGGAAGGATGCAGAGGACACTCTCTTCATTAAGGCTTTTAAAAAAAACCATTGGTGAGGGGAAATACTATCATTCTTGAAAGGCTCTACTGGCTATTATAGGTCAAGAATGATAGTAAAGGATACTCCCATTGAAACTGACTCCCGGGTATGGTGGCTCATGCTTGTAATCCCAGCAGTTTGGGAGGCTGAGGCAGGCAGATCATCTGAGGTCGAGAGTTCGAGATCAGCCTGACCAACATAGAGAACCCCATCTCTACTTAAAATACAAAATTTGCTGGGCGTGGTGGCACATACCTGTAATCCTAGCTACTTGGGAGGTTGAGGCAGGAGAATCGCTTGAACCCAGGAGGCCGGAATTGCGGTGAGCCAAGATCACGTCACTGCACTCCAGCCTGGACAAGAGCAAAACTCCATCTCAAAAAAAAGAAACTGGCTCCCTAAATTCAATAGAGATTATGGAGTTAGGATGGTTAAGGCACAAGTGGAAGGATTTAGCATTCAGAAACAAAGAGAGATTGGTCATCTAAATTGACAGCAGAGCAAGTAGTAATCAAAATGGTTTCACTTCTATCTGTAGGGCTAGTTAACGGATCTGGTGCCCCTAGAACTGAAATAGAGAAGCAGGATATTAAACTCTTCTTAATTTACATATGAAAAAATCAAATTGTAGGTCTAATGAAGAAAGGTCTTTCATTATAAGAGCCACAGCTTCTTATCTAGTTTTGAGGTTTAAATCAGCTTAGATCATTGACATTTAATTATCAATATATTAATAAAATAAAACTTAGGGTTACTATTTTATTATTTGTTTTATTCTGTTTCTCATTCCTGAGTTACCTGAATCTTTTTTAGTATTCTACCTTAATTCATTGATGTTTCTGAAAACAATTTGTGTAGTTTTTCAGAGAAAAAAAATCTGTGTTGCTCTAGGGTGATCCCAATACTTCTTACATTCTGCTGTTCAGTATAAGTATCTTACCATTTAAACTTGAAGATAAAAATCTTACCATAAGGTTCCTTTACTCTTGCCTTTATTATACAGGTGACTTAATTACCTGTGCAGGCCTGGTGAGGAGGCCAGGCTGGAGGATCACTCGAGGCCAGGAGTTTGACATTAGCCTGGGCAACATAGTGAGACCCCATCTCTTAAAAAAAAAAAAAAATTAGCTGGACATGGTGGTACATTCCTGCAGTCTCAGTTATTGAATAGGCAGAAGTGGGAGGATCACCTGAGCCCAGGTTGAAGCTGCAGTGAGCCATGATCACAGCACTGCACTTCAGCTTGGGTGACAGAGACCTTACCTTAAAAAAACAAACGAACAAAAACTACGTATATATCCTCTAGAGAATCGTATAAAACAGTGCTTTTTCTTTCAATTATCAAACGTAATTTTTAAAACCTCAAGAGAAGTCTATTATATTTACTCTATACATTGTGTCTTCTTTATTCCTGCCATTCTGAGTTTTCTACTGCTATAATTTCCCTTTTTTCTAAAAAGGTTCCCCTGACAATTCTTTTAGAGCAGGTTTACCAGGGATAAATCCTGTTAGTTTTCCTTCATTTGAAAAATGTCATAACATTTTCTATTTGTACCTTCTTGACTCCTTTATAACACTTAAGTACTTTGAAAATCAGTTTTCTGATCAAATATTCTCTCCTCCAAAAACTATAACGAAGAGTACAGATTTATGCACAATGTCTGTGATAGCAAAATGTTTTTAATAAACATCAACGAAAATACAGTTAAAAGTTCAAAAAATTTCTATGACTAGCCAATAAATTGCTACAAATTTTATAGCTAACGCTGGTGTTCCTGCAGTTTGAAACACAGTACTTTTCAAGAACTGTGGAAAAGCTTGATTATGACAAAAATAACAGGCGGTGTACTATTTTTGTTTTCTCCTGAAACTTAAACTCTGAATAGCAAGATTGCAGCAAATGTAGCTCAGGATATTCTGAAAAATACAGCCCAAGGAGATGGCCAGTTAAAATGTGGAACACATTTCAATTCCACCTTTCCAGTGGAGAAAATCACTAGACTAAAAGAGATCCAAGGGTTGGATGAGTAACCATAGTTGAAAATCCTGAAACAAATGTTAGCAATAATAAATTGAGGTTAAATGGAGCTCAGTAACTGATGTATTGAAAGTATGATCTGGTCTGACTAGAACACAGCAATAAAAGTTGAGAGGTTAATAAAGGGCAAAAGAAAGAAACTTTAGATAAATAAAGAGAATGAGAAAGAATTGATGATTCAAAAAACATACTTCACTGTGATGACAAGCAAATTAAGAAGGATGAAAAATACAAGGTGAATTATTTCACAATAACATGAAAATTCTCTTGACAGAGGATTTCTTGGTAAAATAAATGCATAGATGAACTAGAACAGGTATGAAGTTCTGAAAGAAGAAACATTTGCATAAATGTGACTTACTTATCCAGCCACGCTAACTCTATTTAAAAGCAATACAATTTCCAAAACTTTCTTGCTCAAAGTTCAAATTTACACAATGCCACCTCTAAGAGGCTGGACGCTAGCTTAAACTAAAATGTTCCTTATGTCTGTTCTTACTACCTTCTTCTCTGGCTTGAGAGATGCTTTGATTTGTAAAAGATACTGGCCAATACGACAAAATAAAGACATAAATCATGTCACAATAGAATTTTATATATGTTTACTTATGTTTAATAATGCATTATCTGCCTTAATAATTTCAGTTAAAAAATGATGGTATGATGGTTTAAAGCTGGTTCAATCATGATTTTATAAGCTTATTTATCAAGAGTGAAAATAGAAGACTATTTAAAATAGCTGAAAAGGGAACATGTGTCATAGTGTTGAATGTTTCTTTAACTGTTGGTAAGGCTTGTTATCTAAGTCTGATGCAGAATTCTTAATGGCACTGAAATAGTTCTTTTCTCAGCCACATGGTATCCACTGGTGCTACGAGTCTGGAAGAGACTGGCTATGGGTACCACTTCTTGTCTTCAGCTGTGACTGTGCAATATCAGCAAGCGCACTTTGTATCTTTTCCAGAAGCATGTCTCCTCGATAAACAACATCTTCCAGACATGTAGCAGCTTCATGGTTTTCTTCTTCTAGCTTATATAAGCTAGCAGCCTTTATAAGACAGAAATTTTGAAATCTTTAGAGTTAACGAGAGAAGTTGTTGCAGAGGTACTTATTTTTAAATCTGGATGACTTTGCAATCATTGTGATTTTTCAGCAAAGAAATTCTAAAAATCAGGTAACTTCTAAGAATTTTCCTCATGTGAATTATTAAAAAGAATGAATTTTCAATTAGAAATCTCTAGATATCTATAAGTGACTCCTTTCCACACTACATTTGGGCACCATTGTTCTACTTCACATCCAGAATGCCACCCTCCTCTCATTCTTCACTGGGAAAAGAGACACAATTGAGGAAAGTAAGAGGTTTCCTTATAATGGAAAATAGAATATTATAACAAAAGGTGCTATGATTTGAATGTGTCCCCTCCAAAATTCATACGTTAAAATCCAATCCCCAATGTGATGGTATTAAGAGGGGAAGGGCCTTTAAGAGGATATTAAGTCATGAAGGCAAAGCTCTCATAGAATTAGTGCCCTTATAATATGGCTTGAGATTGAAAAAGGAGCTCTTGCTCTTTTGTCCTTCTGCCTTCTGCCATGTGAGGAAATAGAAAGGCCCTCAACATGGCCTTAAACATGGCCCTCAACATAGCACCGTGTTAAATAAAAATTTCTTACTCATGCACAATGAGTAATAAATGTCTTGATCTTGGACCTCCCAGCCTACAGAAACTGTGAGAAAATAAATTTCTGTTCTTTATAAATTACTGTCTCAGGTCTTCTGTTACAGCAGCACAAATGGACACAGACAAAAGGTATTAAACCTAGCTCCCTTAATTCAAAATTCTCTATTACTAGTAAAATTCTCAAAGGAATAAAGACTTACCTGTAAAGCAGCTGTAGACTCTTCACTGGGTAGGGAATCTATCAAAACATCAATGTCTTTTGCTGTTCGTGCAATCAGCGCTGCAAAAAGCTGGGCATACTCTAGAGAAAGATAATGCTAGATTAGGTTATTAGAAAACCTCAAGTTTTCAGAAACAAATTTTAAGTTAGTGAAACTGGAAACTTCACATAGCTTTTTCTGCACTAGGATTCTAATGATTAAAATATACACCAATCCTATTACACATTTAGCTCAAATTGGGAATTAAGCATAATGTATGTAATTTCATTTATTATGACAATATAGTGGTCACTTAAAAATAAATTTATAAATGGGATGCCTTCCTTGTTAAGGTCCCTCATTCAGCTAAATTAATACAAATTCTCCTCTAAAGGAGTAACAATCTATTATTTGACATGAAACAGAATTATGAGATTTTATGTGGACTGTAAATTTTTTATGACAAAATTTGTAATATCCTCTAATATTTTTAGAAACAAAATAAGCTGAATTGCTCAATAAATCTAATTTTAAAGGATTACAATAAATGTGAGAGTCAAACAAAGAGAAGCTAAGAAAGCCTGTTTACCTTCTGTAGGATTAGCTGGCTGGTCTTTGTTAATTGCTGTCTGAATATTACTAAAAGACGCAGGAGGACCACACTGCTGCAATACCCCAATGGCATTACAAAACTGATCTGCAAGCTTAGGCCAAAGAAAACATGTCAAGGTTAGGAAGGACTTATCAGTTTTAAGGACTTTATTGATAACAGCAACAACAATAAGTTTCTGTAATCATAATCTCTGAGCAAGGGAATAAAACAGAAAGGAATAACTGCTCATAAAATAAGCCAGTTATTATTAACATTAAACATTTTAATTCTGCAAAGAAACTAAGTTTGGTATCAATCTAGTTGAAACAGTTGAAATAAAAATAATATTTTTTTCTTCTGATAGTAAAATGATAAGAGAACATTAGCCAATATTTATTATAAGCCAAAAGTAAAGACTTTTGGGGAACAGTGATGGAAAAGAGAAGTGATGAAAATTCGACTTGCAAATATCTAAGTATGGCATCACATCTAATGAAAATTTATTACTCATGTACAAAGTATATAATTCCTTTTCTGAAACTGGAGTAGTTACAAGCATAAAGAAATAGTGGGGAAAAGTCTGCTCAGAAAAGCAACTTAAGTAATCAGAAACGTATTTGTTCAAGACTCAATCTTTAAATTCTTGTGCTCCAGAAGTACTCCTTAAGTACTTCTAAAGATTGAGAACAGCAATTCCTTATCGTCTCCAAGTTAAATACACCTATCCTCCCCACCAATTTCTCTCACCTAGTCTTGACCTCTCAAACCTCCTATTTCTAATAAGCATTTCCACTGGGTTTCTCTACCATTGTTCAATGACAGAACTCAAAGGCAACTGTTTCCTCTGTTTAATTTGTATTGACAGTCTCCAAGTCAAACAGTCTAACTATAGATTCTTATTTTCCTTTGATCTTCAAATTCTACTAATACTACAAATTTTTCTCTTTTCCTCTGACTTGTTTTCCACTACTCCTTCATATTTACCTAGTCATAAAGTCACTCATGACTAAATGGCTTTGCCCAGGTTTTGCTAATTGTAATGGAGCAATAAGTGCTCAGCTGCTATACAAGTCTAGATCCTAATCCTAGTTCTATTAACTCAAGTAGCATTTTTCATTTTTAAATTGGATACATTCTCATATTACAACATTGTTGTGAGGAACAGAGCAGACACAAAAATATTCAACACAGTGGTTATCTGTTCCATTCTTCAAAAGCTTTTAAGATCCATTTAGTCAAAAATTTATGGAAAATAACTATGACAAGTATTGTATATAAACATAGTAAATGAGACATAGCTTCTGCACTCACAGTTTTCAGAGGGTAGAAGAAATGCTAAAAGCTATACAAATAATTAATTATGATTAGAATAAATGCTTAAGAAGATTCTCCCTATTTTGGTTCCTATCACTCCATATTCCAATTTACTTCAGAACCTGCAGTTGAAAATACTCAATTCATTGTAACTCCCTAACCACAAACTGTTTTTCCATCACTTAAATGTCTCCTGAATATATATTTTTTAACCTCCTGAAGGAGTATGTCTTTGTAAACATGATAGTGCTTATATACAGTAGGCACTCATACTAGTTATCCTAAATGCTTCTCTCCAAAATCCAATTATCAGTATGCTTAACCTAAAGTTAAGGCCATATTCACTCTGTTCTTACTATCCTTCTAGTTATAAGACATGTATGAATATGAAAAATTTTCCCTAAAATAAGATTTCTATCCAGCAGCATCATTAAAATTTGATTTTGTAAAACCTCGAAGGAGTAGTTCCCTGAAGGAGGCTGGCTGGCAGCCCAGGCAAGTCCCTGCAGGGTAGAATTTATCCTGATGAAGTCAACACTTAAGAGACTGGTCCTCTCAGCCTTAAAAACTACTGTTAATCACCCAGAGTATATCTATCAGTTTATCACAAGTAGATTGACACTCTTCAAGTGCGCAAAGCCTGATGTATTAACAAAAATACCAAGTTATTAGCTTACAGCGGGGTTGGGGTGAGGGGGACAGGCAAGGAGACCAGGTACTTAGGTTTTCCTCGCAGCATGTTTTCTCTCCAGCCCCTTATCTAGGACATTAAATCACAATTAGACAATGAGAAACATAACTATTGATGAAAAACTATTTAACCGAAAACTATGTAACTTGTAATGGTAATAAGTATACCCACTGCCGCATAACGACGTGTTGATCAACAGGATGCATATACTATGTCAGTCCCCTATGGTTAGAACAAAGCTGAAAATTCTTACTGCCTAGTGACATCGTAGCGGTCCTAACGCTGCAGCGCAACGCATTACTTAGTGCTTGTGGTGATGCTAGTGTAAACCAACCTACCACGCTGCCAGTGTATGAAAGTATAGCACATACAAGTATGTAGAGTCCATAATACTAGATAATGATACTAAATGACCGTGTTACTGGTTTATGTATTTACTGTTTACATAACCCATTCATTAAGGGCCCATGATTGTATGTGCATCCTTTGGCTTTGCATCTACTTTCCACTCAGGCAATACTGTGGAGGAAAAATAACCAGAAGGAAGAAAACTGGGGAGCTACTCACAAGACTTGGCCTTTAATAGAACAGAATTTGGGGGAGACATTAAAAAAGTGTTTACAGGCCGGGTGTGGTGGTTCACACCTGTAATCCCAGCACTTCGGGAGGCCAAGGCGGGAGGATCGCTTGAGGCCAGGAGTTTGAGACCAGCCTGGGCAACATGGTGAAACCTCGTCTCTATTAAAAATACAAAAATTAGCCAGGCTCAGTGGCGGGCGCCTGTAATCCCTGCTACTCGGGAGGCTGAGGCGGGAGAACCGCTTGAACCTGGAAGGCTGAGGCTGCAGTGAGCCAAGATAGCGCCACCTAACTCCAGCCCGGGAGACAAAGCGAGACACTGTCTCAAAGAAAAAAAAGGAAAGAAAAAAAAAAAAAGGACTCAAACGGAAAGGTATACGAGGATTAGAAGATTTCCTATCATAAAGATATCCCCAAACTGATGTATTCTAAGGGGTGGCCAAGAGACAAGAGATGGAAGGAGACTCGGCCCACAGGAAAGAGCTAAGATGAAAGACCTCTCACCTCAGCTTCGCCTCCCGCACCAACCTGAAGGCGCTGACATTTCATTACAAAAACCAGTCATCCAGAGCATGAGACCTCCCTTGGTGGATTAAAATTGATGAGGAAAGAAAAAGGCTTCTGCTTCTCCCCCCGACCCCCAAAAGAAAGAGATTCCGTAAGCACCACTGATAATAAAACTGTCCTCAGGGAACACGACAGGACCGCGCAGCCCACAAGTCTTGGCGGTTTGACCCGGACAAGAGCGACCCTCCCGGTCTCGGTCTCCTAGGGCGAAAGAGGCTGCTCCCTCGCACTGCAGCCGGCCTCAAACCTCCAAGTTCGCGGTGGCGCCTCCCGAGAGAGCCCTTTATGCCGAAGCCGTGTCTCATTTCGCTCCCCACTTCCAAGTTTTGCCTTTTGAGCCCCTTTCCTCCCTTGTTTTACCTCAGGAAAGAGAAGGACAGAGGTTAACCGAATGAAATTCCTCACCGAATTCACCGCGTCCTGCAGCTGCGTGAGCCGATCCGCCATGTTTCTCTCGCACACAAACGGACGCCGAAAACAGCTGCTCTTCCGCGACTGGGCCGCTCTGGCACGCGTCTTGGCCAATCACAGGGCTGCATTCTTGGAAGGGGCGGGGTCGGAGAGAACTGCCCACCCCGTCGGGAGGGGCTGGGATTCCCCGAGGCGGCCTTTCTAGAGCGGGCTACACCTGGGTGAGGCTGCGTCTTTTTGAGTAAGTGGGGAAGAATGGTCGGGGTCCAGTTGCTTTGAAGGGCTTCTTTAGATTTTTAGGTGTTAAAGCCTTCAGAGATTGTTGGATTCTGCGGAGATTTTTTTTTTTTTAGTGATTTCTCTTACCCTCATGTATTTATTTACTGACCAAATTGAACACTAGATATATTTATATTAATTTTTTTCTTTTTATATATGTATTTTTATTGCGTTTTAGGTTTGGGGGTACATGTGAAGAACATCCATGGCAATGTGGTTTGCTGCCTTCCTCTCCATCACCTATATCTGGCATTTCTCCCAATGTTATCCCTCCCCAACTCCCCAACCCTGCTGTCCCTCCCCTAGTTTATATTAATTTTTTATATATCGCCATGAAAGCTTCAGTTGCTTTTGCTTTCCAGGTTTCAATAATATATTCAATATTATTGAATATAAACTATATTATTAAAAGTTTCAAACATATACAAAAGTAGAGAGTGTAGTGAACCCTTGCATACCTTTCACCAGCTTCAACAGTTTAGCAACTCACAGACAATCTCGTAAATACTTTGGGTTTTACATTTGTAGTAACTCTATTTATTTTTCAGAAAAAAACCTTTAACAAGGTTTCCAGTGGACCACAAAACATATACACAGCAAGCAAACTCACGAGTACTTGGGGGTCACAATATGGACTTTAAACAAATACGAGTTTACTCATATAACCAACCTTCACTTGTACCCCTGAACCTAAAAATTAAAAAAATAATAAATTCAAATTAAAATTCATGAGGCAGTCATGAAGGACAGGGTTAGGGTGCCTTCTCTTGTCACCTTTGAGCTGAAGAGGTTGGAGCTACCCATGTGGAGACTGGGTGCTCACTTTCATTCTGAGTGTGGGTGGGCTGGGACAGGTGACACTCAATAAACAGAAAGCATCCAAAACGGTCAGGTACTAACCTGGGCAGTAGTGACCATGTGTGGAGAAGGAAGGAAGAATATAGAGTTACAAGGGAAGGTGTAAGTTTAGGTAATTAATAAGCTTCTTTGGTTTCTGTGACAATGAGGAAATCCCTGTGAGGAACAGAGGAGGGTTAGTGGAGAGGAGAGTGGAGGTTTCACAGTATACTGTTGGAAAAGAGATTCCTGGAAAATAAGCTAGATGCATTGGGCAGGTTCACTTTTAAGAAAAATCAGCTGCACAATTTAGATTTAGAGTTGGGACGTATTGAGAATCGAAGTGTGAAGAGTGATAATAGAAATTCGGTACTTAAGGAAATTTGCCTAAGGATAATCTGGTAAAAAAATGAGTTTGGAATCGGCAAATAATAGGTTTGCAGACTTCAAACAAACTCTCAAATCCTCTTTCTCAGGCTGATTATTCGTGATTGCTGCAGGGAAGGTGAGGGACACAGTCCCTCGGAAACAGCTTGTTGTATTTATCCCAACCCTTGCTGGGAAGCACCACTTCTGCTTCACACCCATGTGCCACCCCCATCCCCAAACAGTCTGCAGCTGTACTGGGGCCTCATTAGGAACATGGTTAAGGCATGCTCCCCATAATGGGACTAATGAGAGATCACTTTATAATTTGTTTTAACTGTAATTTGGAAGGAATCTACGACCTTCTTCTCCCACCCTCACTTAAGAGTGTACCTTACTGAATGCCTGTCATATGCCAGGAAGTATAGCCAGCGATCATTTTGCAAAGATGGATAAGCCAAGGACTTGGAGGAAGGTTTTGCAGTTGTCCGAGAGTGAGATGAGCTGGGCCTAGAATAGAGTGTTGACAGATAAGAAGGAAAGACTAAAATGTATTTTTGAGAAAAAAATTAATATGGATTGGTGACTGATTAGATATAGTTTAGTCCACTCAGTAAGAATACTAAATTTTACAGCCTGATTGAAGGGAATGTGGGTACCTGAAGTAGAGAAGCCACTTCAAGACAACTCACATTGTGACACAGCTTTTGTCCTGCCATATCTTCCTAATAGGTCTTTGCCTCTGTGCCTCCACAGAGACCTCAGGTTGATATCCAACTATCTCTGCCTGATTTTCAAGTTTCACTGTAATCTGGCTTCAGCGAACAGGCCCAGCCTTGCCACTTGATAATTTTCTGAGTGAAATAATCCTCTGTTTCAGCCAAGGCCCCTGACCCCTTGGTTTTCTGGTTCTTCAGCCTCTTTTGGAGAATCAGATTAAAGAATCAGATAAAAGCTGTGGACCATCTCCCCAGAAGAGGTCCACAACTTAGCCTACATTTGAAAAGGGTTTTATGAATCTCTTGAAGCTGTAGACTTCAGGAATAACCCACCTGCCAAATATAGTCTATGCCTCTAGCTCAGGATTTCTCAATGGCCACACTGTTGACTTTTTGGTCAGATTATTCTTTGTTGTAGGGTGCTGATCGATCTGTGCATTGTAGGATGTTTAGAAGCATCCCTGTCCTCTACTCCTGAGATACCAGTAGCATCCCCCAATCCATTTATGACAACATAAAGTATCTTCAGATAGTCCCAAATGTCCCCTGGGAGACAAAATTGCTCCCAATTGAGAACCACTGGTCTTGCTCTTTCCTCATTCTTTACTTTTCCCAAAACAATTTCTTTCCTGCTATTTAATTCTTACTTATCTTTTTAAGTCTTACACTTCTCATACAAATTCAATAAATTGCTGAAGTCTATAGGGACCTCTCCTTTCTTCTTTTCTTGATTTGGACACTTTCTCATATGCTTTTTCATTTGCTTCTCTTGTGACACCAACTGGATTATATGGTTTTAGGAGCAGGAACCCATTATTATAGATCTCGTATTTTAAACACACAATTTTGGCAAGTATTTTCTTTGAAACTTTATATTATTAAAAGTTTCAAACATACAAAAATTAGAGAGTATAATGAACCCTCGCTTACCCTCATCAGCTTTAGCAGTGAGCCCTCATAGTCAGTCGTGTAAGTAGTTTGCTTTTTATGACTGTAGCAACTCTATTTTTTCAGAAAAACACCTTTAACAATTTTTTAAATAACTTTTTTTTTGGAGATGGAATCTTGCTGTTGCCCAGGCGGGAGTGCAGTGGCCCCATCTCGGCTCACTGCGACCTCCGCCTCCCTGGTTCAAGGGATTCTCCCACCTCAGCCTCCCAAGTAGTAGCTGGGATTACAGGCATGCACCACCATGCCTGGCTAATTTTTGTATTTTTAGTAGAGACAGGGTTTCGCCATGTTGGCCAGGCTGGTCTCGAACTCTTGATCTCAGGTAATCCACCTGCCTTGGCCTCCTAAATGGGATTACAGGCGTGAGCCACTGTGCCTGGCTGAAAACACCTTTAATACTCACAGTTGCAATTTATTAAATATCTAAAATGTTCCTAGTGCTGGGATGAATATACTATAAATAAGTATTTTCTATACTATACTCCTTGAAATTCCCTAAACATGCTCTGCTGTTTTACAATTCCATGCACACCATATAAAAATGCCTATAATTCTTTCTTCCTTGTATGAAATGCCCATACGTCCATCCACATTTCCACTTTGTTCCCTTGGTGATTGTTCTCACAGTCCTCAAATGTTATTTTCTTTATTATTGTTACGATTATTATTTTTGAGACAGAGTCTCACTCTGTCATCTAGGCTGGAGTGCAGTGGTACAATCTCAGCCCACTGCAACTTCCACCCCCAGAGTTCTAGCAATTCTACCTCAGTCTCCGGAGTAGCTGGTATTACAGGCACCTGACACCACACCTGGCTAATTTTTTTGTATTTGTAGTAGAGACAGGGTTTCACCATGTTTGCCAGGCTGGTCTTGAACTCTTGACCTCAGGTGATGCTTTTGCCTCGGCCTCCCAAAGTGGTAGGATTACAGGTGTGAGCCACCATGCCCAGCCTATTATTTTTTTACTCACCACTATACTAGTGAAGAAAATCTTATTTTAACCATCTCTTTATAAAAACCTTTCCTGAATTCTGAGAAAAAGTTAAATGCTCCTAATCTTTACCACAATTTTTCCTTACACTTCTATAATTGCACTGAGCATACTGAGGTGTAATTATTCGTACATCATGCTAATTCGTCAACCAGTCCATGGGTTACCTGCAGGCAGAAAACATATTCTGTTTCCATATTTCCAGTACCTAACACCGAGCATTTAGGCTGGCACATAGAAGCTGAATACATATTTATCAACTAACTGAATGAATCTTCTAGCATAATAATTTATATATAATAGCTACTAAATAAACATTTATTGAATTTAACTTAAACAGTCAAAGAATGTAAATTACTGCCTACGAAAGAGCAAAAGAGTTAAAATATACAGGATGAAGGTGAGATTAGAGTGGAAAAGAATAACTGGACAAATTTCACAGAGGTTCAATCCTGCCTTTTCCCTGGATCCTTGCTCCCAACTCCATTTAAGGTATCTTAGGTTTTATTTAAAAATCTAGAGTAAGTTTTCTCCCTTCCTCCTTCTCTCTCTCCTGACCTTCCTTCCTTTTCTAAATTTTAACAGACTTTTGTTTTATCAGATACTGGATCTCACTCTGTCACCCAGGCTAGAGTACAGTGATACAATCATGGCTTGATGCAACCTTAAACTCCTAGACTTGAGAAATTCTTCTGCTTCAGATGCCTGAGTATCCGGGACTACAGATGTGCCCTACCATGCCCAACTAATTTTTTTCTTTTTTCTGTTTTTTGTTTGTTTGTTTGTTTTGTAAGAATGGGGATCTCACTATGTTGCCGGGCTGGTCTTGAACTTCCGGCCTCTAGAGATCCTCCTGGCTTGGCCTTCAGAAGTACTGGGATTACAGGCATGAAGCTACCACACCTGGCCTAAACAAACTTTAAGGCTCTAATTATTCATATCTTGTACTTGGGAATCTTTTCAGTTTCTGCATTTCCTTTCAATGCATAGAAAAAATAAACTCATCTGCAAAGCTGCTAAGCTAGTTTGCTTCTCAGCTCTCCAGTGGAACTCTGACATGAACATGAAGCCCCAGGCAATCATCCTCCCAAGCTGTCACGATACTGCACTTAGAAGCCACGGTAATGAGGCCCTGTTCTGATTGCTGACACATCATCAGCTGTCATGTAGGCACAGGCAACTGCAGGCTTGGGGAACTGTGATGCAAAGGTATGGAGGAGAGAGAATAGGCACAGTTCAGGAAATTGAAATTAATGCAATGTGGCCAGCATGTAGAGGTCTGATTTTAGTTGCAGCAAGAACCTAGGGAGGTGAACAAGCACTGCATCACGAAAAGCATTTATGTGTCAGACTTAGGAATATGGACTTATGTCTTGAATGCTTTTACAAGAAAACCCTTAAAATCATATTATCTTTTACAAAATCATAATTTCTTATTCAAAAATGATACATTTTAATGTAGAACTTTTTTACAGAAATGTGTAAAGAAAATCATTCTTAATTTAACCACCTGGAGATAACTATTTTAAACATTCTGGCATATATTCTTCAACCTTTTTTTCCATGCATATAACCAGGAATACATGTTAAAAAGGAAGCAAGGGCTGAGCACAGTGGCTCATGCCTGTAATCCCAACACTTTGAGAGGCTGAAGCGCACGGATGATGAGGTCAAGAGATCAAGACCATCCTGGCCAACATGGTGAAACCCCATCTCTACTGAAAATACAAAAATTAGCTGGGTGTGGTGGTGCTTGCGACCCAGCTACTTGGGAGGCTGAGGCAGGGGAATGCTTGAACCCAGCAAGTGGAGCTTTCAGTGAGCCAAGATCCACCATTGCACTCCAGCCTGGGTGAAGGAGCAAGACTCTGTCTCAAAAAAAAAAAAAAAAAAAGAAAAGAAAGAAAAAAGGAAAAAAAAGAAAACAAGGCAGGCACAGTGGTATGAGCCTATAGTCCCAGCTAGTCAGAAGGCTCAGGCGGCAGGATTGCTTGAGTTTGAGCAGCAGCATAGTCATCTCCCATAAACACTGCCACTTTAAGTTCCAGCTCTCTTTTTACCCTCGTACATTTCGAGGAAATCACTTCTCTTCTAACTACAAGCAGCCGGAAAGAACAGACAGTAAAATACAAATAAGACAGCTCAGGCACAAAGGGAGATGGGTGGGAAAGTTTCTTGGGTAACTGCCAAACTTCACCCTCATACAATGGACCCCAGGAAAACAGTGGGCTTTAATAAGCACATTCCTTTCTCTTCAGGTGCACCAAGATAGGGAAGCTAAAAGCAGACTGGGGGTATGCCTGCAGCTGCCGGAAGATGTATGGGAACAGATACACAACTCTCGCTCCCAGGTAAGCACCACAAAGAGGCACAGAAGCAGTCCAAGCCTCTGATAAACTCTCCCACCCTAAATCCTTAAAAACTTTTTGTCTGTAAGAGAGTGTGCCTCTAACCTAACTAGCCAGAAGCTCCTCTCAGGTTTGTTTTCTCTAAAATAAACCTGTCCTTGACTTCCAAGTCACCTTTCCTGTTCTTCCTCTTGAATTCTTAAATCTGGGCGTTTGAGGCCAGTAACATAGTGAGATCTTGTCTCTTAAAAAAAAAATGCAAACAGACAATAAAAGTGTATCCATTCCTCTGAGTCAATAAAAGATGTATGTTTAAAACAAAGCTGGATACTATATATATTTATTGCATCGTAAGTTGCCTTTTCATAAAGACTTCAATCAGTTGCTTTCCAGAATATAAATGAAGGGCTGCACAGGATCTATTATATAAATGTATCATAGGATATTTAATTCCTAATTGTTGGGCATTTATGTTGTTTTACATGTTTTTGCTACTCTAAATAACACCTTGATGCATAGTTTTGTACACTAATTTTTTTAAGAGATGGGGGTCGCACTATGTTGCCCAGACTGGAGGGCAGTGGCTATTCACAGGTGCAATCACAGAGCACTGCTCCCTTGAACGCATGGGCTCAGGCAATCCTCCTGCCTCAGCCTCCTGAGTAGCTAGGACTACAGGCATGTGCCACTTCCCCCGGATTATACTAATTTTTATATGTTTATTTAATTACATACTTAAATCTAAAAGTGGAATTATTATACCAAATCTATAAAAATAAGATTTTTAAACATTTTTTATGTAGATTATTTTTTTAAAGTGTATATTCCCACTATCCCTACTTAAGAATGCCTCCTTCTCAGCTCTTTTATCCACACTGGATGTCCTTTTACTTTTAAAATATTTACATCTTAGTTTGTTAATTTGATTTTTTGTTTGTTTACTATGAGATTGAACTTTTTTCATGTATTTACTGGCAGTTTGTATTTCCTTTTTTTGGGTGAAATTCTGTATTCATGTCCTTTGCTAATTTTTATTTTTTGGTCATCAGCTTGCCTTTTCATATTGCTTATGTGTTTACTTTAATACAATTATCTCTGTAAAAGTATTGATGTAGCCAAGTCTACCAATCTTTTCCTTTATGGTTATTTTCTTTGCCGTTGTGCTTCTTAGAAAGCTCCTCCCATTTTGAGATCAATTTATTATTATTTTTAAAAAAGCACTCTTCTACTAGCTCTTTTATGGTTTTATTACTTTGGTATTTTGTTTTGACAATTATTGTGAGATAGAGTTCTGATTCTTTTTGCCCATAGCGCAGCTAATCAATAAGAACACAATTTACTGAATAATTAATCCACTGATTCATATGCTACCCTTATCATAACTATTCCTTTCATCTTCCTTCGATGTCATCTACTGAGGGTTATAGGAATAGGGGCATGTGGAAGAGTGAAAAGCACCACAGAAATAGTGCCACCAAAAGCGTGAAAATTTGGACCAGGCAGGGGGAGAGCAGAAAAGGAATTGTGCCTGTGACAAAGATTATTTGCTTGGCCAAACTTTATTACGGGTTCTGAATATTCTGCTAGGTCCATCTGTGCACTTCTTTGTAAAAATCGTTTTAGCAAAGAACCCTCCCCCCCCCCCCGCCTTTCCTCCATATCTGATCAGTTTCCTCACCCTCCACCATCCCACAGGTGATATCCTGTCTTCAGGAGGAGTCCTGTTAGGTCACTTTCACCAAATGCCCCTTACCTCTGATGTTTCCTCTTAGTAATTTTCTGTCCACTGAACTCCATGCTGCTCATTGGTTATAAATTCCGACTTGTCCGTGTTGTATTCAGAGTTGAACCCAGTCACTCTTCCCCACTGGAAGAGCCAGTTGCAGTGGTCCCTATGCCAATTGAGACAGTCCTCAATAGTCTTCGTTCAGTGCTTTAACAAGTACCAATGAATAATTTTGTCTTCAACACCTCTTCACATTATGGTCGCAGCTATAGATTGTTAACTTAGTAGTGGATTAACTGAACATGTAATTTCCAAGCTATAGTTGCTCATCAAAATATGTAAGTGGAAAAAATTAAGAAGCAGGAAAGGAAAGCAAGACAATCTTCCCCAAGTAACGTTGAGTCTTTGCATCTGATTCTACATCTTCGATGAGCCATCTGTCACACGGACTACTGTCCCTTAAACAGCACTCAGGTATGTGACTTAAAGGAGAAATTTAGATCAGGCCGTGTCTTCGACGATGTTTCGTTTCGAGAAAATGAAACTATTTTTTAATGTAGTGCTCATAACTGGTGCGGTAACCACTACACAAACAGCATTCTCCCGGCGTTTTTATTACACTAACATAAGCCTCAGCAGGGAAGGCAGTTGCTACTGGGGGAAATAGCCTTCAATTGTGTTTTTCGCAACCGATTCCTCTTTTTTGCTGTTGTAAAGAGCCGTTAAACACGGGAACAGTAGCCTGGTGACCGCAACAGAAAATTATTTTGTACTTTCAAGGTGGTTTGCAGACGTGGTGAGATACAAGTGGGAAGACCGGGCCTCAAGCCAGGTCTTTCTTCCTGGGGGTTCCTAGGAGTGCCGCAGGCTGCGAGTCCCCCGCGTGCCGGGAGGAGGCGCGCTCTGCCTGGAAACGCCAGAGCGCCGCCCGCGCTCAGAAACCGGTCGCGGTGACGCAGCGAGAGCCGGGGAGGAGGCGCGGGAAGGCGCGCCGGGAGTAGAGTGCCGGAAGAGGAAAGCTCTCGCTGGGGCCGCGAGTGCGGCGGCGCTCACGCCGGCGGCTACGGAGCTGGCAGGTGCGAGGCGTCTGCACCTGACGGGCGATGGCGCCCGGTGCAGGCGCCCCGGGGTAGCTCGGGCGAGGCTGTGGGTCCCCGGCGCACACGCCCGCACCCCTCCCTGGGCTTGGCGAGGGCCCTGCCCGACCCAGGCAGCAATGGGGCTCCTGCAGCTGCTGGTCCTAGCGGTGCTGGCATCGGAACGTCGGGTGGCTGGTGCAGCCGAGGTCTTCGCGAACTTCAGCGAGGGTAATGTCGGGGCGCCTGGCTTCTGCAACCCAAGGTTGCTTTTGCATTTGCTTCAAGGTCAAAATCCGCCCGGGGTCTGTCAACCTAGCAGGGAGATGGTATTGGGGGCGTTGGTGCACTCCGGATGGTAAGTTCAGAACCAGTACTCATGGACCAGAGTTCTTTCCTGCAGTAGAAACACCCATGGCTAAGCAGGCCTTATTGGCAACCTTCTCATTTAGGCGGAGGAAATGGGAAAAGAGAAATAATTCTCTCTCTCTCTCTTTTTTTAAACACAGTATTATCTCCCTTAGGGAGCAGCCATGTTTGTGGCTTTAATGTAACTTACTAAAGCGCCCCTTTGCTCCCCAGTGGAATGTCTGAGCTTCTGGACAGCAGGACTTGGGGTGGAACTAAGGGCTTAATGACTTATGGTTCTCAAGCTACATGGAGCTTTTACATCCCCAAATCTTGAGGCTTTTCAAATTCGTTATGTTCTGTAGAGTTTGAGAGGAAAAATGAACCCAGAATCGGGCTTTATTTATTTTTAAAGGGCCTTTACCATCGAATGTATTATTAATGCCATCTGGAGACCGGAAAACATTCCATAATCACAATGAGAAATGAAGGACTTTCTGAATTACGGATACAGAGAAATACAGATAGAGAGTGTATACCCTCAATTCTACAATTTCAGCCACAAATGAAAAATAAACACAGAAACGCAAAAGCTTGCCAGTCCAGGTATCAGTTATTCTCCTTACTTGAGGGCAAGAAATTTCTGATTGATTTGACCTCAAAAAAAAAACGAATGTACAAAAACGAACTATGTTGTCTATTGTCTCATATCCAACAAGAAATAGATCTCTATGAGAGATCACAAAATTCTCAATCATTGCAGCTACCAACAGGAAATAACTTGTCATCCATAAATGAACTATAAAGAATAACAGTTTAATAGAGACTAAAACTAAAATGAGAAAAACAAGAATCAACAAAGTTCTATTGCCACTTCAAATTCACCTGTGGGAGCCAAGAAGAATCATGCCTGGGCTTGGCTCCCTGTGAGTACACCATTTTTAATGATATCAGGTGACTCTTGCTCGTCTCAGTGAGAACTCAGAATGGGATATTAGAGTGTAGGTCTTTTGCTTGGTGAATGGGTTTTGGCAACAGCTCACAGTTTGTTAATATAAAATGTAAAAAGCGGCTGTGTCCGGTGGCTCATGCCTGCAATCTCAGCACTTTGGGAGGCCGAGGTGGGCAGATCACCTGAGATCAGGAGTTCCAGACTAGCCTGACCAATATAGTGAAACCTTGTCTGTACTAAAAATACAAAAAATTAGCTGGGCATGGTGCCGGGTGCCTGTTACCCCAGCTACTAGGGAGGCTGAGGCAGGAGAATCGCTTGAACCCAGGAGGCAGAGATTGCAGTGAGCCGAGATCGCACCACTGCACTCCAGCCTGGGTGTGACAGAGCAAGACTCTGTCTAAAAAAAAAAAAGAAATGTAAAGGCCCTAGCTATTCCAGGCAGATCATCATGTGCTTTTCCATGAAGTTAAGCACATTCTGTTTTGTTTTGAGGTTAATAGACAAGTTGCAGTTCTGAAACCTATTTTCTGAATAATGTGATTGTATTCCTATGCACTTATCTTTGAAAAACCTTTGTGCAAACTGAATCATAGAATCTTTGTGTAGAACTGAGGCCAAAGCTGAAAAGGGCATTTTTTTTTTTTTTTTTTTTTTTTTGTGGCAGAAAAGCCTTGCTTATAATAGGACACTTAACACTCACTGCATAAAGTGTGTGCAGGTGCTTTCCATGTGCAGTGTTATTTAATCTCTAGAACCCCACAATATAATGATCTTCCTCACTTGTCAGAGGGACAAATGAACAGCTGCTAGGGACACAGATAGGATTTGAACCCAGGTGTGTCCCCCTGCAAATTTCATAGTCCTTCCACTTCAGTGAAGCTACCTTTCAATAAGAATATCTTACATAGCAAGGTGCTTTGTACTTAATCCTTTTGTGCATCCTCATTCCTCAAAATAGTCTTATGATGGAGGTAGAAGAGATGCTATCTCCATTTTAACAGGTGAAGAATTTGAGATATTAGAGTTTGTAGTTGATCTAGGCTATCCCCTGAGTCAGAAGAGCAGGGATCCAGATCTTTTTCTTTCTAGTTTGGTGCTTTAGTATTTAATACCTAGAAATTTTTATACAAAAGTTAATTTTTTTTTTTTTTTTTGAGACAGAGTTTCGCTCTTGTTACCCAGGCTGGAGTGCAATGGCGCGATCTCGGCTCACTGCAACCTCCGCCTCCTGGGTTCAGGCAATTCTCCTGCCTCAGCCTCCTGAGTAGCTGAGATTACAGGCACGCGCCACCATGCCCAGCTAATTTTTTTGGATTTTTAGTAGAGACGGGGTTTCACCATGTTGACCAGGATGGTCTCGATCCCTTGACCTTGCGATCCACCCACCTTGGCCTCCCAAAGTGCTGGGATTACAGGCTTGAGCCACCGCGCCCGGACTCAAAAGTTAAATTTTAATATGAATAAATTGAGAATTTTTTTTTTCAGACACTGTTTTTAGCCTCTTTGCTATGATTATAGCACTGGTATTCCTCAATGTTGTTCTTTTTGCCTTGCATTGGTATTGTGATTCTGTGCAGGAGAAGGACAATGTGGGACTTAACTGCTGAGTGATAGTAGAAGCAGATATTCTACATATCTGTCAGATACAAATCAATATGGAAAGGTAGAAGGGTGTAGTTCAGGATTTGTATAATCCTCCTAGAAAATGGCTGGATTGCTGTTTGATGATTCTGGTAACTACACAGACTGAAGAAACTGAGCATCTGCTGTAATTTAGGAGGATTTACCCATCTTTAGCAGGATGAGCTAATTTACATGACTTGGGTAGTAACTTGAATGCTAAATAAGTCTTGGAAGGTGGCAGATGGAGTTCCTAGAATGTCTGAGGAGGGTGCTTTTTGTGACCAGGAGGCACATGAGATGGATCATACTTTTAAGCAGTTTTTCCATCTCTTGGAGTCCTAGTTTACTGCTGCCCTTAAGTAATTGAGCACAGCATCATTTGGGCCTTGCAGTCTTTGTGCTGTTGATGGTGCTTTACGCAAGATAGCAAGCCATTTGTGGTTAGTTGCAAGTGCTGTCTTTCTCTAAAAAGTATATGAAGCTAAGATGTTCATTTTTGTGTTTCCTTTCAACTTTTAAGGCTATTGAACATTTATAAGAAGGTAACAATGAGAAATTGGGAGGGGCAGTTGACTTCTGACCAACTCAAGTATCTGAACCATTTTTGTTTTTAATCTGAAGAGAATTATGAAGACTAGGCTATGATAAATTTCTCTTAGAATTTGGTTGTTGTGTTAAAACAGAAACAATAGAAGTAAATTTTAGTAAAATCGTAAAAAGTATGAGTTACAAATTTTTATGGTTGCCAGATTAGGGTATGATTGGGAAAGAAAAAGGAAAAGATTAGGATTGAGCGGACCTTTTTAAGTGGAACTATTGGAAAGAAAAAATGATTCTGGGTAAGAATGGAAGATGAGAATGAAAAATCATTTCAAGTCCCTTCTATAGGTCAGATGGCAAAAAAAAAAAAAATCTTTTTAAAGGAAAGCTAGTGTAAGTACCCCAAGTTGATGTTAGCCATTTGCTTTGTTCTATCTTTTCATGTGCTGTCTTTTTTTCTCCTACTCTCCAAGTCATAAGATCTAATTATGCCTCATAAAATGCTTCTAATAAATCCTTTTCCAGATGCCTTAGAAGTGAAGTTAAATTCCTGTTAACTTCTTCAGGATTCTTTTGGGTGTGTGTCTTCTTTTGCTAAATCTCTTATGAGCAGAAATTGAATGAGTTTCTACCAGACTGAGCTGTTTGTCTTGACTTTCAGTACCCTCTGTTGTCACTGTATGGAAGTCTTTCTCAACATAATGCTTATGATGTTCCTGGAATTTCTGTGAATGCCCTGTACCTGTTAGTCCCTTTCTAACTGCTAATTAATTTCTGCTCTGAGTGCCTGATTCTCTTTCTTTTCTTTCAATAAGGAGATGAACTTCTGAAACACAGGAAGGCTAGTGGAAGTTAATAAATGATACTTTATTGTGTAGCCTTGGGCATTTAAAAAAATTGTTTCTCATTTGTTTGATACTTTGAGCAGCCAACTGATGGCAGCACAGTTACCTCAATTTTACTTTGAGGGAACTGAGGCCCAGAGGAAACAAATTACTTGCTTGAGGTCACATAGTTAACCAACATTTAACAAACATTTACTGTATGCCAGTTAGGTGACTATACCGTTTTAGACGTTGGAATATCAAAGATGACAAAATCCTGCACAGCCAGGAATCAAACCACAACTAATTTGGTTAAAGCAGTCTTCTGAAAAAATTGTGCAATGGCTGTTGGATTGCCAAGTTTACGCTGCCAAGTTATTTTCACACAAAAGTTAGGTTAAAGATAACTAAGACTGAGAAAAAATACATTTATCCTTTGCTTGTTCATCAAATATTACCTTAGGAGTTCTCAAACCTGGCTAAACATTAGAATTACATGGAGAACTTTTTATAAAATGTATATTGGTAAAGAGACAGCTAAAATAGAAATTTAAAAGAAAAAGCAGGCCAGGCGTGACCTTTGGGACATTAAATTCCTGTTAACTTTGGGAGCACTTTGGGAGGTTAAGGTGGGCAGATCTCGAGGTCAAAAGATTGAGACCATCCTGGCCAAAATGGTGAAACCTTGTCTCTACTAAAAATACAAAAATTAGCTGGGTGTGGTGGCGTGTGCCTGTAGTCCCAGCTACTCAGGAGGCTAAGGCAGGAGAATTGCTTGCAACTGGGAGGCGGAGGTTGCAGTGAGCCGACATCGGCTCCAGTGCAAGACTCCAGCTAAAAAAATAATAATAATAAAAAAATAAGGCAGGGCTGGGTGCTGTGGTTTGGTCTGTAATCCTAGCACTTTGGAAGATTGAGTTGGGGAGGATCTCTTGAGGCCA